CCGGTAGTTACAAAGTCCGGTTTAGTCCATTGGATCCAATTGACACTCGATATGTCCATTGGACATGCACATGTCCAATGGACATGTGAGTTGTCCATTGGATCCAATGGACAGCCATATGTCCAATGGACATTGTCCATTGGACATTTGCGTTAGTATTGGACATGTATGACACTCGCAGCGAAGTTAAATAATTTGAACAATATTTTCTGATTGCGATAACAAAGTCAAAGAAGACCAGTATAGCCAATGGAATTCGTTTAAAATATCACGTGACTAAAGTGAACATACTTGAGAGCGTTTTACATACTTGAGACGTCTTTTCCTACGTCATCTTAAATAAAGTAAGAGCAAAAGGCGCCGATTTAAAGCGGCCGCCATTTTACAAAAACGTAAATTAGCCACGCGAGTGATGAATTGTGGAAATTGACCTGCGCTCGCTGCGAGCTGTTTTTGCGATAAGTGGAAAAGAGCCTTTAGACATATCAAAATATTATTCCAGAAAACAATGCAATTTAATATTTAACAATTATTCGCCGAAGGCGAAGTGATTACCGGTGAATATTCACCGAGACGAAGTCGAGGTGAATATTCACCGTAATCACTGAGCCTGAGGCGAATAATTGTTTTAGTATAAATTTAATTTTAATGAATAAAACAAAATATCCAAGTTATCCAACTATAAGTTTAATTAAAATTCAGAGATAAAACTGTTTTCGACCGGTTTACGGTTTAGTGTTGCAGTGTTTCTTGTACACGCACGCCTTCAAAATGGCTTCCTGTGCGACTTTATTGCTTTATTACAAAGTTATTTTTCTCGATTTCTGCTTAGAATATAAACACAATGATGGAATGACTTTTTTACCAGACTTAGAATTAAAAAATAGTTTCTGTTTAGCATTAATTTGTTCAGGAAATGGCTGAGAAATTTGGTAAAATGAAATGTAAAACCATATCGTTCGAATTAATATAAAAGTTTTAATACACTTTTCACTTTACAAGTTTTAAAAACACAAATAGTACAATACAGCGAAAGGACACCATACAGCACAATGAAAACACGACATAGTCAAAAGAAATAGTATCGTACAAATTGAGATATTTATAGTATACAAAACAAAATTGTTTTAAAAAGAATATCACGGCTTTTCCCAAAAGTCGGGATATTTTTGCTATTTCAGATTTACGTTTGAAGCGAATGTTTCGGAGTTTTAAATAAGTTTTAAATTGTCCGTGAATATGTTTGACACAGTAATATAATACTAAATCCTACCTTTCAAGTTAAATACAACATTTTGTGCTTTTTTTCTTTTTCTGGGTCGATTTTTTCAATATTTTGTCGATTTTGAAACCAAATTTGCCGAATCATTCTTTTTGAAAAGCATTATTTACTACCCAGGTGGTAAATAATGCCTCAGATTTACTAGTCAACTAGCCAATCAGAACGCGCGAAAGCTCATTTGATATGCAAAATTTATACTAAAATCCCTTTATTAAACAAATTATACCTTTCATATCGTTCTATTCTTCGTGTTGATAATTTCCTCAAATATTTATAGTTTCTCGGCTGAACATATACATTGTAGACAAAAACATTTGGCTGCTTTGAGCGAGCGATTCAAAATTTGCACGTCGTTTTTAGACCGCGAGAGACATTGCGGTATATAATCCTTTCAATTGACCAACTAATTTTCGTATACCTAGAATATTTCGACGCATTATAAAACGTTTTTAAAGTTTTTCTACTAGCGCAAGCTTTGGTCTCGCCCGAAGATTTCAAACTGAATATATAATTAGGGTCAAATGCCTACTTAGGGGGTGGGGTACATTGACGCGGCCACTAAGGTACATTGACACGTCCATTTTGTTCGATTTATGGCAAGCCTCTCTCCCGGAAAGTTTTTTACAAACACATTCGCAGGCTAAAACCCATAGGGAGGCCTGCGGAGGAGGCTAGTGTATATCAGTGTTCACTACATGATCGTTGCCACGAGAGCGGCTCAGCAACGTGGCCTCCTCTTTGGAAAACACTCCATCAGCGAGGGGGGAGCTGGACTGGAATGAAGGGCTTTCAAAGCAACACGATATAAATAGAAATGATTATTTTATCATCCGTATTCGACAATAAACAAGTTTTGAATCAAGTCCTATTTTTAGAAGCGTGAGAAAATTAGAAATATCTTGTCATGAACTTTTCCTTACATATTTTTTAGAACAATTTATTTTGGCCCACGCTTTGTTTTTTTCTCAAATTAGCCAAATCAATGTTGCCACAAGTCTAAGACAACTTAAAGTCTCAAAAGCTACGGGTATGGATAACATACCTGCTAAAATACTTAAAATATCAGCAGATATAATAGCACCATCATTAACTGCCATTTTTAACTTATCTCTTAATTCATGTACTTATATTGATTGATGGAAAAGGCTAGGATAACGCCAATCTTTAAATCTGAAGATAGGCAAAAATGTGATAATTACCGACCTATCTCAATTCTACCGATAATAAGTAAGATATTTGAGAAAGAAGTCTTTGATCAGTTATATGAACATTTATCTCAAAATTTATTGCTTTCTAAATATCAATCAGGATTTCGGCCAAAACACTCAACCATGTCAGCACTCATTCAAATGTGCGACCAGTGGTTAGAGAATATGGACAATGGCATTGTTAAACGGTGTTGTATTTCTTGACATTAGAAAAGCTTTTGACACAATCGACCACTCTATTTTACTAAAAAAGATGAATGAGCAATTTGGAATTTATGGGGCTGAACTAAAATGGTTCGAGTCTTATCTAACAAAGAGACAACAAGTGTGTTTTGTCAATGGTCATACATTGTCACCTAGACAAATAACATGTGGAGACCCACAGGGCTCAATTCTTGGCCCACTATTAGTTTTACTATATATTGATATGCCAAAGTGTCTAAAATCTACAACCCCTTTCTCTATGCTGACGATACTGAAATTTTTGCATCATCACCTGATTATGATACACTTGTTAAAAACCTAAATGATGATCTAAAAAATATTCACACTTGATTTGCCAAAAATAAGTTACAACACCATCCAACTAAAACAAAATTGATGTTCATTGGATCACCATACAATCTTAAAAATAGGATTGGTGAAGCTACTGTATTTTTTGGCGACAAACCAGTACCATTAACTCATTCTCTTGAAAGCTTTGGAGTAGAAATCGATAAAAATTTGAGCTGGGAAAAACATATTGATAAAATATGTGAAAAGGCAAGTGCCAGTATTGGGGCTATTAAACGCGCTAAACCGTACATTGATATTAATACACCACAAACCATATATAAAGCACCAGTGCAGCCATATTTTAACTATTGTTCCACCCTATGGGGAAACTGTGGTAAATTGCTTCAAGACAAGCTTCAAAGATTTCAGTCTCGCGCAGCAAGGGTAATAACTGGTGCCACTTACGATGTAAGGTCACTTGACATTCTTAATACCCTGTCTTGGGAAACACTTGATAACAGAAGAAAAAAATCCAAGGCTGTGTTTATGTACAAAGTGTTAAATGACCACACTGCCCTGGGTCTAAAAGAATCTTTTTACATAAGGAATATGACACAAAATACCTACAATCTCAGAAAGAGCGAAAATGATTTAACTCTTCCAAAACCTAGAACAGAATATCTAAGAAGAAGCTTTAAGTACAGGGGCGCTATGCTATGGACCGGAATGACCTTTTGTATGCAGCTAAATCGGCGGATACTCTCGATTACTTCAATAGAGAAATATGTGCAAGCTAGAGGACGATTCTGTGCTATACGTGCTAAACTAACTCTTGTATATAGTATTTTTAAATTGTAACTTTTTAACTTAATTATTTTCTTTGTATTGTTTGTGTGACGCCCTTCGTGGAAATCAGCACTATGTTGACGAAGCAAGCGTGTTTAAATAAAGTTTTTACCTACCTACCTACCTACCATATACTTTTTATAACATTTAGCTCTTGACAATCATACCAATCTTTTTAAAATTATGAACTTGACTGCGTTCAACCGTATAATTTCTATTTATATCGTGTTTTTATCGTGTTACTTTGAAATTCCAGCTCCTCCCCCCCTTATGGAATGTTTTCGAACGAGGAGGCCAGGTTGCTGAGCCGCTCTCGTGGCAACGATCATGTAGTGAACGCTTCTGTGGAAAATGGAATTTTGAATTTTGAATAAACAAAGTTTGTTGAGTGTCACAGGAATTGCCCAAATGGTGAACAAACCATGTTCTTTCGAAAGAGGAACGTTCATACTATTAGGCGGTGTAAAATTTATTGCTGTGCAACGATTCTGAGGAGAGATATTGGACTCGATGTCGCAGAGTATATCTGATAAGTGGTTAGCCTTCTACTTCTTTTACCCTGTGTCGTTCAGTGTCAGTATTAGACAGATTTAGATCGAGGACGCGGACGTCAAAGACGACGTGAAAATGGCTTGTTGTGCCAATGTATGGATATGCCACGTCATTTTGACGCCATTTCCACATCGTCTTTGACATCCTCGATCTAAATCTGTCTATTGACGACCGTTCAACTACGACGAAAACGTGAGGCAACCGCATCAACTAGACTCAGAAACACAGCAAATGCATTCTATTAACAAATTAGATTTGATGCTTGTGATGTTATTCTGAGTGTTTATCAACACCGGGCAAACTTGAAAAAGATCCCTGTCCACGGTTGGAATCGAACCTACGATCTTTGGAATACTAGCCCAATGCTCTGCCAACTGAGCTACGCGGTAGAAACATCACAAGCATCATATTCACCTGAGTACACTACACCAACACAGAAAAATTCATGATTATTAGATTACATTGATGTCCAGGAACTAGACTCGGGAGCATTGGGCTAGTATTCCAAAGGTCGTAGGTTCGATTCCCACCGTGGACAGGCATATTTTCCAAGTTCTGCAGTTTTTAACTTTCCTTTCGAAGAAAGATCTCCGTAATCTATTGTTAAGTTTATTTACCTTATTCCTTAATCTCTTGAAGGTTGCTGGGTCCATAGATATTGCTTGTTGGTGTTGTTCTATAAGGATCTTTAATTCAGGACTGATCCACGATTTATCCGTTTGGTGTTGCTTGTAGCTTTTTAAGGCGAAGAACTTGTCAGTAGCGAAACATAACAGCTCATTAAAATCATTTAGTTTTTCAGTACAGTTGGGCAACATTTCCAGGAAGGACCAATCTGTACTTGAAACCCATCTTCCAAAACTGGTTTTCGAGCTTGGTGTCACAGTTCTTCTTAACACCTTTTCAGCTCTAGCCTTTTTAGTAATTGTAGAGGGGCGTGTAATGAGAGAATTGTGGTCGCTTAACACGATGTCGGACAAAATTTCGGGCATATTGGAAAAGCGCAAGAGATTTGTAAAGATAAGATCAAAAATTGCATTGCCGCAAATTGGATTTTTTACGATTTGTTGTAGAATTAGAATGATTACAAAGCAATTGATAATCCACGTGGTTAAAATCACCGACCAACATAATTCCTGCATTAGGAAACCGGGCCAAAACTAAATCCAATGATGTAATCAAATATTCCATGCAAAGAACATCATCTTCTTGCGGGGGGGGGGGGG